AATAAACACATTGCAGGAACGTTTGTCCATATTTGTCAGTTTTTCAATACATGATATTGACTTTGTTTTCTCTAATTTATATAATTTTAACTGAAATTATCTACACATCACTCTGTAAAATCACATTTTTATTTAATTTAAAGTTACTGAAAAGCTAAAAAAAAAAAAAAAAAAGAAATCTTGCTCAAATGGTTTATCAAATTTTATCAATAAATTTGAGCCAGATTTTGCTGATGTCTCCCCCCCACAAAAAAAAAAAAATGTTATCTGAATTTTCTTTCTGTAAAACCTTGCAAAATGTAATATCTCCCAACCAGTATTTGCTGAAATCAATCCTGGAATCTCTAAAAAAAAATAAAAAATAAAAAAGTACAAAGAGACATGCATTAATTCTTGCAAAAAAATAAAAACTTAAAAGCTCTATTTTTCAGTTGGCATATTTCATATGATAGATGTCCATTTTTGCTTAGAATCTGACAGCTAAGGGAAACTGTCACTTAAATTCATTGTCATTTTCCAGAATATCAACTGGGAATGTTTTCCTAATACTTTCTCCCACCACACCAACATATCTTGAAGAACATCAGATGCTTATGATTAACATAATTCTAAGCTGCAAGTTTATTTTTTTTTCAGTTTATTTAATGATTGATTCTCTAAACATTACACCTCAATTCCCAATCACACAGATATATCTAATTGTTGACAATAAAATATATCCTCTAAAATAGCAAAATTTATGTCTATCAGTTAAGAAACTGAAAGAAGCAAGAAGTAATGGTTTCTCACAAATGTAAAATTCAAGTTAAGTGTACTCTCTTCAGTCATTTAGTATTGGAATGATTCCTAGTCACTAACAGCTAGCCTACCAAACATTCCTCAGCAACAACAATCTTTTTATTAATCTGTTAAAATAGATTACTTACACTGGAGATATTGATGGTGCTTTAATATTTGAGAAAAATTGTATTTTTTAAATTAAATCAACTCATCTGTTGTTCATTCTTAGTCACATGATTTTTTTTCATAAGCAACTTGGGATTGAGACCAGTACTCTGATTGCTTAAGTTTTCAGCAAGAATTAATATTCACATAGTTATAATGATTGTTTAAATTTTTAATGCCTGTGCCTAATAAACAGAAAATAAAAGCATTTCAATATAAGAAAACCAGTAAAATTCTTCATCTGTCTATATTTCTGAGATGAGGTATTGTAACTATTTACACTACTGTTTGGACTATTCTAGCGTATATCACCTGTAGAAAGCTGGAGCATACATTGGTTGAAACATTATGAAAATGGCAATAAAGATGAGGACAAGAGTCTGAACAATGTAAATAGTAAAATGCTTGAATACAGTACAAAATAATATTTACTAATTCCTTTTATTTAATTTTGTTTTACTTTTTTCTTTGTTTTTGTTGAGATGTTTAAAAATAACATTTAGTAAGCCCTTTTGTTTAATTTTTTTTGTTTTTCTTTGCTTTTTCTGAGGTGTTTAAGCTACACTGATATCTCAATTTGTTTAAATTTGATTACAGTTGCATATAAAAAAGAAAATCATATATATCCAATCAGATATAGTTAAAAGAAAGATTTTTGCTGTATAAACACAAGTGTGTCTAAAATTACTTTGTAAAATATCAATTGATGTACAATGTATATATGATAAAGATATAGCTATAAGGTATACTATACTTATGGGCAAACGTGCTCATTATCAGGGACAGAGCATGTGTGGATATAAAAGTGGACACTGAGGTCGAGACCAAGTGGCAAAATTCTTTCTTATATGCAACAATAGAGATAATTGTACAAATAAAACATACTACCTTAGTTATACAGGAAATATAAGCAATGCAGGTGTAAAAATTACCTGAATATTACAATCACTCTTTTTTCTTTTTTTTTTTACAGTATAGATAAACTACTACATACAGCATTATTTCAGTTTTTTATGCTTTTGTTCACCTAATACAAGGCCCAAGAACCACTCAAGGTAGGGTGTTACTGAATTAGGTTGTTTTAAGGACCTAAAATGAAGGGGGTGCATATTATGAGGATATGTAGGATAGATAATGGTTGACCCTAGATTTAGAAGGGTTAAGGTTATAGTGGTCAGGAAAGCTCCCTCTCAGGAGTCTGTACCATAAAGTGACAGTTCTAAGGAAGAATTTAATTAAGAATTAATGAAATTTAGAACAAAGGTTAATATTAATACAATAAATTAAAAAAAAAAAAAAGAAATAAAATAAAATTTGACACAAGATTGACAAATGAAAACTTAGAGACAAAAATCAAAAATAAGATGTCCAAAACTCAAAAAGAAATAAAGGGATTAATAAAAAAAATAAAAAAAAGATTTTAATTATATATATATCAATAGTAGATGGAAAATTGTGATTGATTTAAAATGTTCAGTATCATGTAATCATCCTAAAAACTTTCTCAGCCAATGCAACTACAGTTAATGTTATTCCTGACTAAATTATTAATTGCCAAATTGGGACACTGATGTCCAAGACAAAGGAGTTATCACATGACAACTGGGAATATATCTCACTAAATAGTAATGGATTGGGATATAAATAAATCTCTAGCAATGTAAATATCTTTGTTTCCACTGTTGGAGGCAGAATTCACTGATGGAAGTCTTCATCATTAAGCTAAGAGTTTGTTCAATCTGTGCATGCTTCTTAAAATTTTGGTTTGTGATTCCAGAAATATTGTTTGGTATTTGGAGGAAGCTGAAACAGTAGTGTACATGAACACTATAAAATAATTGCTCCAGAATGCTGGCTGTTATTCTAAAAATACCAAGGAAAACTCTATTGCTGACACCAAAGCATGTTAAGGATAATGATGCTTGTCAGAAAATATATAGAAAACCTCTGTCTTTCTGGAATTTTGTGATGTGGTCAGATGAAATTAAAATAGAATTGTTTAGTGGAAATATGGTGAACCATTTATGGAGAGACAAATACTTTACATACCAACCAAAGAACACTATTTGACAGTGACATCCAGTGAATGAAGCTAGCGTAATGTTTGTCTTCAGGATGAACTAATGAGTTTCATATGATTGAAGGGAAGACTAATGTAGAACCTGCAATCAAAGCCTTAAAGTTACCAAGGTATTGGATTTATCAAAGACAACAATCATCCTAAACATTCAGTTGACAACAAAATGGTCCTAGAAGAATATTAAACTTTTATGGAGTGGCCCAGTCAGTTTCCTTACATTGATTTCCAAAAGAATAAATAAATAAAAAAAAAATAACATTTTTAAAATATTTTCTTTGAGGTTTTACTTTTGGTTTCAGTTGTAAGAAAATAAAGTTTGTTATAAAATAAAAATAAAAAATACTTGTTTACTTAAAGCAGATTTGAAACTGCTTTTAATTTCAATTTTTGTCATCCAGAATTTATTTTGATTACAGAAAAAAAATGAAACTCATTAAAAAATCTTCTAAAAATAAAGTAGTAGCCATTATAGAAATATAGAATTCAAAAATTAATTAAATTAACCTAATGCCTCGCAATCAATAAATAGCTTTAATGGGTTATATAACCTATAATTAAAGTTGGATTTTTATAGTGATTTTCCAAGTGTAGCTTGCATGTGGCACAAGGCCGAAAGTATGGGGCACCCAGTGTGGATTGAACTCACTACTCAGTCGTAATTGTTATATAAAGACAAACTTGTTAACCATTACACCACCTCAAGGTGCCCACAGTGATTTTCCAAGCATAGCTTAGATGTGGCACAAGGCTGAAAGTAGGGGCACCCAGTGAGGATCAAACTCATTACTCAGTCATAATTGTTCTAGCAAGACAAGCTTGCTAACCATTACACCACCTCGAGGTGCCCAAGTTGGAGTTTTATAAATGTATATATAAATAACATTTATAACAAAATAATATATAAAAGGTTATTAGGTTAATTTATGTCAAATTTTTTTATGTGCCATCTCTCCTCATGATGTATGCTATCATGGCTCTCCACAACTTCCTGTCCTTTGTAGCTGCTAATAAATTTTGTCTTTCTGCAATTTCTCCTAAACCCTGTTCTGCCATCCATTTACTCAAGCTCACTAAGTATGTTATGCATTGTTTTCCTGTCTCTTTTGCCTTTAAATCTGTCCCGTGATTATCAGATTCTCCAAGCCTTCTTTCCCCATTATGTACCATAGAAATTTCAACTGTCTTCCTGATGTTAAGTATACTCTAGTAATATCTTTGCAGTCTGATGGCCCTAATTTACTAATAAGACATTCTGTTGTCATGATAACAAGAGGCATGTTCAATTATTGGTATCAATCACTGCCTCTTGTTACATTAACAATGGAATATCTCATTACCAAGAAGAGTAAATAAGGTTGCATGACTGATAAATATATAAAGTTGGATTGTTGTTGTTGTTTTTATGTATAATAGATGTATCATATTTACATGAGATAAGACAAAGTGAAAAAGTTGTTCAATCTTTCATCCTTTATAGTTGACATCCTAAGGCTGAAATGAGAGACATACCCATGTGTGAGAAAAGGGTGTTGGAATTTTTTTTTTTTTTTTTTTTTAATCACTCCATCTAAGGCAATAATGCCACTAAGATGCAAGGGGGTTACTGAAAGTGAAAGAGAAGAATTTAGAAGGAACTGGAAACCAATCCTTAACAGGAAACAAGGGATAAACCTTTATTCCTGCAAAAGACTAGAAAGGAGTGTGAATATGAGGAAGCGGTAATAAATATCTTTATTAGATACTGAAGTCACCTCCTACCCTTACTCTAGGGGTTAACATCTGCTGGATTTGAAATTTAGCCCACTCTAAATAGATCTGTTTTTTTTGTTTTTCACTATTAGTTTATATATTGCATTGTGCTACTATTTTTTTAATGTTCAGTGATATTGTATATCTCACTAACACTCATATTATACACTGGATAATATTCTCAAAGTCCTACTAGTAATAAATATAAAATCTTTTTTCATTGCAGGCGGTATTGGTATTCCTGGAGCTGTTGTTGGAATATTGATTGGAGGCTGTATATTAAGACGATTCCAACTTAATCCAAAAGGTAAGGAGATTTTTATTTAGTTTATATCCTGTACAGTAGAGCAGTTGGATAGGTATATTGCACAATAACACCAACTGAAGCTTGTTTTATATATAGTAGACAAGAGGGGGTGCTGAAAAGTTCTTAAATTGGGCCAATTCTCAAAAAATTTGAACATCAGGTGTTCTTGATTGGACTGAGAAATACACCAGTGTATATTTATGCCCACTTAATACTGCTGTTACACACTGACAAGCAGGTTTTTGCTAAAATTGGGCCCACCCAAAATAATGAGGTTCTGCAAGGTATCTTTTTAAAAAATTATTCTATAAAAGAAAAAAAAAAAAAGCCATTCACCATTTTCAGAATGTTTGAGGATTATATTAAAAATAGGCATCTTGAATTTGATTCAAATCACTCAAATTTTCAGATGACTGTTTGCTATATGGTAATTCAGCATTCTTCCTGAAAAATAATCAAATTCCACGTAAATAGTTTGAGCTAAATCTTTCTTTTAAAAGCAATAAAAGGTTTTAATTTAATCAAAAGAAGAATAGTTACTTAAAACAAAGAATAGTTACCAAGAAAAAAAAGAAAAGTTTAAATTTTGGTTTGATTAGCATTTACCAGGCACACTTAACAAAAATGGATTCAAAATGACAATGATGCCCAAAACAATTCAATTATCATTAGCTTATTTATCTTTGTTTTTTCTATAAAACAATTGAATTAAATTTAATAAACAATGACAAAATTAGTAACATGCTTGAATAAAAAGGATAAAAATAATTACTTAATTTTAAAAAAAAAAAAAAAAAAAAAAAGTAAAAAATGTTTATTTTTAATCATCAATCTACAGAGTGTAGCAGAAATAGCTCCCACATGCTAGATAAAGATATCATTGCCACTAATGTCATCTTATGTATGTGGGAGGTATTTCTGCCACACTCTTTAGTACTTTTCTTCTTCTTCTTCCTCCTTCTCTTCTTTATTTGGATTGTACACAATTTTTAAGAGTTTCCAAGAACTTGAGGGATTTAACATCTTCAGGTAAAAGGTTTTTTTTTTTTCGTAAATATATTTTATGAAATAGATTTCATAAAATTCATTTTGGGTTCTATTTTGTCAGGGACCTCTTTAACACTAACCAAGTGAATTCTATGGTTTGCTTATAGGATTATGACTTTAATCCTAACACTTTAATTTAAAAAAAAAAAAAAAATGAAGTTAGGAAAAAGAAGAATTTTTTTTTTTTTTTTCCCCCTTCTCTTTTCTTCGTTTTTTCTTCCTTTTGTAAGTGAAAGGACTTTAATTATATTTTGAAAAAGAAAAAAAGGAAGAAAAAAGCAAAGGAAAAAGAGAAAAAAAGAAAGAAAAAAGGAGTTATTTACCAATAAATCAACACCATTTTGAATCCTACTGCTTTACAAAGTATGCTTGGTAAATGGTATTCAAGACTTTGCTTTGATTAGATTAAATTTTGATTCATTTAGAACTACTTTTTTTTCTTTTTACCTCAATTTTTTCTCTTACACATAATTTACTCATTTACTTTTCAGTAGATTCACTGAATTACCACCTGATGTCAGCTGAAAATTTCATGCAATGCCTTGAATGAAATTCAAGATGCCTACCTGCATGTGATCAACTTTTTTAACTAAATTTTAATATTAAAAATTTTCTACGGAAAATTCAGCTTCCCACCCTGCAATTGATCAATATTTAAAATATGGATTGTTAAAGAAAACAAAGTTACAAGTGATTCACAGACTAGTGAAAGCAGAGCATCTATAAAATACACAGAGATTGCAAAACCCATAAAACCATTAGAGTTTGTTTAATTCACAAAAATAACATTCAAATTCTGTGCAGATATCTTTGAAAAAACTGTAAATATGATCTTAATTTTTTGTCTTTCCAATGTTGATGAAGAAACTCTGAATGCCGTTCATTTATGTTTAACTAAATATTAGCAAATCTTGAGAAAATCAACATCCCCTCCAAAGTGTTCAAAGAAATAAGACTCAAGAAACAAAACAAAAACTGTGATCTGGAATTGGAATGAAAGTAATGGTTACACATACCCTGAATCATACTTATTATAAAACCCAGGTTGTGTGTGTCTGTACGTTTATATATTGGATCGGATTTCCTACATTTTTCCACCGATTTCAACAAAAGTTCACAGGACTACGTAAAATTACTTTACGGTGGTTCTGACAGCGCCAAAAATTGGAAAAACAATTGTTTCTGCATGAAATCAATTTGAAAACACGATTAAGGCATCGCGAGAATGAAAGGGGGACAACTCATATCGAGTTATACTTATTATAAAACCCAGGTTGTTTGCGTGTGTGTGTGTTCATTTATATATGGAATCGGATTTCCTACATTTTTCAACTGATTTCAACAAAACTTCACTTTTTTTTGGCAGGTAGTGTTTCTTATTGTCTTACACACTTTTTTCTTTATTTTTACATTCAGAATGCTTTAAAAATTCCATTTACAAGACAATTGTCTATAATAAAATTCTATTAATCGGTAGACTCATAATGATTGAAAACAATGTTTTTATTTAAGTTTGCATTTGACAAATTCGTAAAAAAAAAAAAAAAACTAATTAAGACATGCGTGTCCATCAACCTTAAACAATAATCTTTGTCAATTTTATTTTTTAGTCTTTATGATGGTGATACTTGATCTATCTCTTACTGTTACATCCTCGGGCTCTACTGCTAGTCTTTCATAAAAATTCAGGATGTGAAATTAGTAAAAACTAAACATTTCAAATATTTCAGAGTATGGATCAGTTATAAAAAATTAGTATAGAAGGAAAGGAAATTGATCTTAGAATAGGCTGTGCTAGAGGTAAGTTTTGCCCAACACCACCAATTGCCACAATGCCAAAACATTAAACCAAAAACTCATGTCCTTAAATTACCTTGTCAGATGAAGACTTTCATATGGATGTCATGCATGGCACCAAACCCATTCAGAAATATCTAAACTATCAGCTGTATACTAAGGTTAATAGTTACAAATGGCTTTCAGTGAGTGAAGCCTATGGCTCTCAGTGAAGACCACACTTCTTTGAACCTTGTAGACTACTGCTACAAAATCACAAACAAAGAACAGTACCAAATAACAAATCGCATTACTTGAAGACTTCCAACAGCAGAAATAGCTAAAATGGATATCACATGCAACTGTGATATCCATTTTTACTTTCAAAGAGAAAATGATGACATAATCAATATGTCGACATTCAACATTACTTCAAACAAAAGGTTAGGAAGGAAGCCACAATCAATATAGGAAAGAGCAATAACAGCTATTGGACTTGAGAAACCTATTTTCCTGAAAAATTGTTTTAAGATTTAAATTTCAATATAGTACAAGCTACTCGGTCAATGAATAGCAAATGTTTCCTTATAAAGAAACAGTTAATAGTTTAGTTTTCATTAATGATTTTTCCAGTGGCATCATTCAGCTCTCAACTTGGTATCTATGCTCACGAGACAGCCATTTACTCCTGTTTTGATAGTATGGTCAGTTCAGTAAGGTCAAATTAACGGCTGATGTCAAAACGTCCTTCAGTCTATTTTTAACTGGGGCAAAGAATGACTTGTTAATTTTAACACTGAGAGACCCCTTTTTGCCTTCCATCAGCATGGCTGATGCTAACCTCCAGCAGAGTGCCCCATTGTGCCTTCTAGGCTGACATGAAGTGGAAAGTCTATATTGAATACATTGCTAGGTCAGCTCCTAAGAAAGTTGGTTCACTGTTGTGCTAGACATTTTTTCTCTTCAGAATCTAATTTACATATCTATAAATCTACCATTCATGCATGTTTAGAATATTGCTGCCATATATGGTCTTGTACTTCTGATCCTATTTAGAGATTCTTGATAAAATCAAAAAAAGAGACAGCAATATTATTGGTCCTCACCTGGCATCTCGACTTCAGTCACTTTCTCAACTGCTGTAAAGTTTCTTCTCCATGCTTTCCACCCAACTTTGGTCTCAAAAAATTTAAATACAATGTCAGTCGTTATCTACGGTCTTCTTGATTACTCTTCCATTGTTCTTGCTCCTTAGTAATGTTTCCATTTTCTAATTCTTCCACACCCAGTAGTCCCTTGTGTCTTCATGGCTTTTTTGCCTTGCTTGGAGTGAATTTGATATTAAAAAAAATCAATGATATGGACACTAAATTAGAACTTATTTTGTAATTACATTAATATGACACTTACACTTTACAAATAGAGGACTCTGCAGATGTTGCTGGACTGACAGTTTTACATGATTTCAAGAAAAAAAAGTTAAAAGATTTTCTTTATGCAAATGTCTGCAACTACAAACCACTGAAATTAACATATTCAATTGCACTGATAATTTTATGAAAATACATGATAATAACTAGGAAAAACATAAAAAATGTATTATGGACTAGCAGTGATAGAGCAGAAGTATTGGTAGATAAAGTGATTGGTGCTATAACACAAATCAAGAATGATGCAAAAAAAAAGAAAAACACTAACGGTAATCACTGAATTCCTTAATAATATGCATTAGCTATAGAATATTTTAGTTACATTTAAATCAGTTTTGAATTAAGCAGTGCTCATTATATATGTTATTAAAACATTTTTAAAGCTTTATATGAAGATATGGTTAGCTGTCAAAACTACTTTTAAGGACAGAAGTTAGATGGCTAATGTGAGGTAATTGAGGTTCTTATGAGAATGTTTGAATTGAGGAAAGAACTGTCAGTATATTTTATCGATCATAAATTTTGATTGTCTGATAGATTAACAATTACAGCATAAATTCCATACTTAGCCAATGTTTTTTGCAAAATTGAATGAATCCTGTTCATCTCTCCAAGTGAAAGAAGTGAATATTTTTCAAGCCAAAAATAATGTGGTTATCTTTATTACATAAATTGTAATACTGGAGCTCTGTGGAACAAAATACTTTTGATTGTGTTTCAATTCTTAATTATTTCCTCCAAGAATCCAAACTGGATTTAAAGGTTCAAATCATCAATCATATGAGAAATCAATCCTGTAACTTATTACAATCTCTAGCACAGTATGGTCTTTTTTTCAAAATTTGAAGAACAAAAATGATTATTGGCTACAGTACAAAATCCATTCAAAGTTAAAGTAAATCCAACAGGATTTCTGACAGAAGATATTGAAAGTTTCACAAAATTAATTCGGACATTTAGATAAGGCTAATTTTGAAGGTGTTTTGGTAACAACAATTTTCCGATGCAATATATATTAGTTGGATTGATGTGAGTTTGTGGCCCTGGGTTTCACACTTTTGCAATCGTCAAACTGATTAATTTTCCGGTGGGTGAGTGTGTTTGCATATGTCAGTGAGTGTACAGGCGTGTATGTATGTTTGCGTAAGTATGAATGACATCCCGACAACAATTTTTTCCTCCCACTTCCATAAAAATGCCAATACACGCAACCCTATATAAATCCAAAATTTAAAAATTAGTCAGTTTGTCTGACGATCACAAAAGCATGAAACCCAGGGTCAAAAACTGACATCAATCCAACTAAATATGTTAGCTCTATCACTGATATTGAGTGCTTTCCAATAAGTACTGCACATATATAATATATAAATAACCAAGTATATAATTGGTATATATGGAATGAATTCCAATAACCAACAATTACTATTCTTAAAAGAGTGCTCAATACAAAGTAGAGCAGATATAAATTTTTTTTTTTTTTTTTAAATAATTATAACATTAATATGTTATAAAATCACTACAAAAATAGCCATTTTGTTTCAACACCCCTGGTGTCTTATCAAGTGATGATGTTGAATGCAAGGAAATGTTATAAATTTAAAAAAAACAATAATTATAAATAATATATATAATAAATTGCACACATATATATATATATATATATATATATATATATATATATATATATATACATTTCACACACACATATATATATATATATATATATATAATTTTTACAGTGAGGTTCACCCTGTACAAAGCCTGGGAGCCACTCAAAGTAGAGTGTTACAAAGTAAGAGGTAGTTTACGTGAATACGGAGAGAAGATAATGTTAACCCTCGACTTGTACAGGTTAAGATTGTAGGGGTTAAAAGAACACCTTCTTGTGAGTTGGTTCCTTGGAGCAGCAGTTGGTTCCCATGTATGGGCTCAGAACGCCCTACATAAAAAACTGGGCTTGTGTAACATCCTGCCTTGCAGTGGTTCATGGCAAGAAGCAGTTTGAGTGGAACTTCTCACCAATGGAATATGGGGAGAATTAGTGTGGTATGCTATAATGTGAGTGGCATGTTGGGTCCTGGCCATGAAGGTTAGGACCGGTGAAACCAAGGAATGCCATTCATGGAAGTATCAATAGAGCAGTGAGTCTAGTCACATCCCATCTGTGAGAGGGAGAGTGGAAAATAATTTATCACTCACAAAGACTTGGAGACGCTTTTGAATTCTAAGTTGCTAGATTATATTTTTATAAATCTGGCTCTTCTAAATATATTAGAACAAAAATTAAATATCACAAGAAATTGGATACTATTTAAAATATGTTCTGAGAGGCTGACTTCAACATATGAATAAAAAAATCTTTCTATAAGAAAGAATTCAGAATTAGAATGTTAATATCAAAATGAAAAAAGGTTTGAAATCAATTATATAAAAAAAGCAATTAAAAAGTATTGATTTTAATTGGGAAATGTATTTGTTATAAGTTTCCTGATACTTGAGACACTGATGGATGATTTTCACTTATGCTGCTTGTTGCCTGAAAAGAAGAGAATTCATATTGTTTCCTTTTCACTATTTACAAAACTGTATTTAAAAATAAATAACATTTAGAAGTTAAAATAAATTTTTGTACCAACATATTTAAAGATCATTTTAAATTAATTTTAGCATTTTATGACAAGATAAATTTTTGACCAGTAATTGTAATTCTCATGTACAACTTGATTACAAACAGGTGCCATCCAAATGACCCTCATTCTGGATATCCTTGCTCTTGGTGGATACACAATGCTCTTCTTTTTGGGATGTGACAATTTGAAGATTGCTGGAGCCACATTTCCTTACTTCAACAGGTGAGTCTTCTTTTATATTACCATTCAATCAACATTTCAATTTATACTGAATGAAGTCCTAGAGTGTCAACAAAACAAAACTTGTTGAAGAAAAAAAAAATTAAACATTTCAGAATCAGCTAAGTGAAAATCATGAGTGCTTTTCTACTTTGAAAGTGTATTTATTTTTTTTCTTTGTGTGATAAGGGTATTTTTGGTCTTTGTATACAATTTAGTATCATTTTAAAGAAGACTTTATTTTTATATGAAGCTAAGCAGTTGCAGAATTTTTTCTGTCAACTTCGTGGCAGCAAAAGACAGTTTTGTTCACTGTAAACTATTTTGTTCAATAGTATAAATATTTCTTGCTAGTTTGTATTTGATTGTTTTGAGATCAAATGAATCAGGTGATATAAATGTACAATGCAACCACTGCCCAGCTTTCCACTGACTGACTAGTGAAGCATTATGTTATCGATTCTCCTTCACACTGATATGCGTCAAAAAACTGAGAAAGACCCACTGCATGTCCACAAAGAAACAGGTGAAAAAAAAAAGATGCCACATCAAGAAATGAGGAGTCAAAGCCTGTGTCAAAAATATGAAATAGGTGTTTTATTCAGGGCTTTGCAGATAGCAGAAGTTGTCCCAAATATCACCTATACCAGTCTAACCATTCAGTTCTTCCTTCCTATCAACACCTTGCTCATCTACAACATGTGATTGGAAATATGAATAGGCAGCATTAGAAATATATAAGAAAGAGTGTGTCTCTTGCCAAGTGCAGACCAGACCAGACCAGACCAGACTTCAATTAAGCCCAACTATGACCGTTAACATAAACCAGCAACTAGATACACTGTATCCAGTTTTATTGTCACTTGACCTCAAAAGCTCCCATTCACTCATTTACTCTTCCATTCCTCTTTGATCAAAGTGAATGCTGCTTTAGAGACTATCCACTGGCCATAAAATAAAAAACAGTTGAGATCCCAACCATAGTAACAGTAAAAAATTATAGTATATTAATCAGTTGTAACATTGGTGAATTATCTAACATTTTTCTTATTTTAGGCAATAATTTTTTTTATCCTACATCCCTGAAATTGGAGTGTTAATCTATAAAACCTGAGTATGAGACAGTTCATGAATAAATTTTATTAGTTAAAACTGGAAGGTTTCAAATTTCAATGTGCAAAACAAAAAAAAAAAAAGGATCAAATTCATTTATATCAAAACATCTTTCATATTTTTAAGGAGCATATATAATTTCTTTTATGATTTCACTTCATCTTAAATGATACTAACTACAGCAGCCAATTTGTTGCTGTTTTAGTAATGAATAATTATTAAGAGTTCTATATTCATATGCTCTCATTACTGGACCACAGGAATATTAATATGAAAAATTACAGACACTCCCAGAAACATTGCTTTCTGTGTCTTTTCTTTCTTACTGTCAAGCGAAGATGGAAATAAACACCAAGACAGTCAATCATCAAATGACTAAAAAATGGTTTCCAAGTCAGAGGATTTGTGCATCTTTCCTGTTAATAAATTAATCCTTTAAAAATAAATATTTAACATTTTTCAACCAATGGGTCACGTTCCTGCCAACAATAAAAAACATGCTTCTTGATCCCTTTGAAGAGTCCCAAGGCAGTAAGGAGATAGAGACAGGTGCATGTGACATCAGTTCACAGCCCAACTTTAAAAAAGATTCCCTTACTCATTCACCTGTCTTCCTTCACCAAGCTACCTGGCACATACACTTTCCCCCTCTCACTTTCTTCCTTCCCTCCTTTTTCTCACATGTACAGGTGAAGCAATCACATTTCTTTTCATCTTAAACTGCAAACCAGGTACTTTAACAACAATTTTAACACTAATACACAGAAAAATTTAGTTGTAAAAAACATGAAAATAAAAATATTTTATATTTTTATATTGAAAAACCTTTCTTACCTTTTTCTTTGTTATGGGTTGATTTAAATCTGCAACAGTTACTACCGATTGCACCAATCAGTAATTTAAAAATGTTTCTAATAAACATTGTCTTTATGTTAGGGATGATTTATTTATTTCATACAAAAATTGTTGATAAAAAATATCATATTCTAAAGATCGGTTAGAATCTTAGATGAAGTGATGTTTGAACACTTAACAAAATTAGAAAATTAAGTTGGTTATGTTAAAACAACTAAATTAATCAAAAATTTTATTGTCACTTTCAAACCAAATATAAAAATTTTAGCCCACATTGCAGGACATGCTTTAATTTAATTTTCTAAAAGCATCTGTGTTTTATGTTTCAATAGAAAGTTTAAAAAAATAACTTCCTGTTCATTGCCATGTATTAACTGCAATTTCAATAAAACATTGTTAAAAAAATCTGGTTCAAATAAAATTGATTTGTAAATATCAGCAAAAGTTTATAAAAGAAAATGTAGTATATCGTAATTTCTAAGTTTTTGCAATAAGATTCACAGAAAGCATTGATATATAAATTTGATAACTAACAGATTACTTAAACATGGCAGATTTAAAAGAAAATATTAGTTAGCCTTTTGGCATGTTAACAAGTACATTCAATGGAATTATTTAAATTCATAGTTTAATCATCCTATGCATGACATTAAACTACATCCGGCAGCAAGGCCTCTGATCAGGAGGTTTTGAGGAGCATGGAAACACCTCTTAATTGCTGTTACTCTCAGGTCGACCCTAACCCAGGGTGGTATCACCTGTTGGGGTCCCAGCTATGGCAAATAGGGAACACCCAAACTAGGGGTTAAACATGAAAATCTCTATCTATAAAAGGCAGGATGTGTGTGTAATGAATGCACGACCGCAATTTTTGACGGATTTGCACCAAAATTTACATGCACATGCTCCAAGTTAGCGGGAAACCAAGACCAACTTTGCATTTCCCAACTCCCATCGATAGTGGAAATAATCAATTTTTTCATGCTTCTATGACAGTTTTCATGTAGTTTGTGGCCATTTTCTACTGGCCAGAGTGAGAGCCTATAGCTGGCTGCCACGAATAGGCAGGAAGATTCTATTGGCCAGCATGAGAGCCAACAGCTGACTGACATGAATGTTAACTAGCATGCAAAAAAAATTGACAGCTGCATTTATCACAAGTGGGAAAAATTTAAATCTGCATGGCATTTTACTCCAATTGGCTCATTCGCTTGCTTAAACTCAACGTTGATTCTGATTCCGCAGAACTGGGTTGGGTGTGAAAAAGTATTTGTTGTTAACATTCTTTTTTCATTTGGTTTTTCCAGTTATGAGTCCTTTTTTAAAGCTGATCGTTTTGTGTTCATTTTGTTTAGTTTTTTTTTCATAACAGATTTAATGTTTATTTAGCTCAGAAAAAATTTGCAGTGTAGCAACATCAGCATGGCAAAGGGCACTCCTTTAAAGGCAAGGAAGGGCAAAAATATTTTAAGTCACATGATAGCGATTGCTGTACGAGTCATACGATTTTTGAATAAAGCATGGGCAACGCCGGGTCATGCTGCTAGTATAAAAATCCAATACAAAAAATTACCAGCAATACATTTCTTGAAAAAAAGAAAAAAAAAGAACCAAAGCTCAAGAAAATAAAATTTCAGCATTAAATGATCCATAAGAAGTTGATATTGCACCAAAAAAAAAAAAAAAAAAAAAACACCATACTTTTAAATCTACCAATATCTGATTTTTCAAGAGTAAATATATTTTTTTCTTTTTTGTCAATGAACTGTGTTTTCTGCATTTACAAACTTAGAGAAAAAAAAACTTTTTTTTTGTTTTTTTAATAGACCTTGATGATATAAAAGTTTTCTAAAATAGGTCCTAGTTTGGTTTGAAGATTAGAAATAATGTAAGTTAAAAAAAACAAAACAATTATAATTTCCCATTATGAATGTCCTTGAAATTCCATTCATACCACATGTTTTTACTGTCATACATAATCTATGAACTTTAAATATTTCTACATGATTGCATCTAGGCAGAAAATATTGCCATTCACACTGACATCTGAAAAGGTCAACACATCCACCTGCTGAAATCAATTGAAGCCAAAAATATATTAGGTTTTTTTTTTTTCTTATTTACAGCCCATCCCAAGTTGATATATTGAATCTGTCACCAGTCCTCACAGGTTTATAGAATGCTGCTTTCCTCATTCATTCATAGACAATGGTTGAATCATGTCCTAAGAATATCAACTTGTTAATTTTTATGGTATTTTTATGCTGTCTAAAAGAAGTCATGCCACATTTCATATTCTTTTCAATTATCTTTGCTTGTTCAAAATGGGATTTATAAACTAACCCAATAGCTTTTTGTATCATAAGAAATGATTAAAGCTAAATTTATTTTGTCACATTCATTTTTAACATTACTATTAAATATAAAACAGCAAAGAATAGACATGTTTAATGAAAAAAAAAATAGTACAGACTAAAAATATAATTGCACTGAATTTGGGTTATAATCCATAAAGGCTGAAATGGGGGGATATCACAGAAGGTCAGAATCTCCAAAATATAATTCAGGTAAAAAATAATAAATAGTAAATTCTTAAAATTCATTTATGTACAGTTTTAAAAAAGATTTTTTTATTTGAGAAACATGTATGATATCTACCCCGGCTGCTCTGTATTCAAGCTCGATCTCCTTAGCTGATCTTAGAGTTAATCGCTTCGGCCCAAGTCTTGTCTCACTCCCACATAGATCCAAATGGTCAACTGGAATTTCTGGCTTAGTTTGGTCTGGTTAGAGTAAAGTCACACAAAAAAAAAAATAAATCAGGTAAAAGAAAAAAAAAGTATTTATATACAATTCCTTGATACAAAGTTGATAGTACAGTTATTGATAGCTTAATCAGGCCTATATTCTCCATGCAATAACTATCAACCCTTTCCAATTATTGTGACACATTATTTGTTGTTATGGTTTCGATTGAGACTTTTGGAACAAGGCTTTAAGCTGGAGGTTTTTCTTCAGGACAGTGAATCACATCA